TGGGCCGCGCTCGCCGAGATACTTCGGTTCCCGGGCAGAGTTTCATTCAACTAGGGTTGAGCCTGATACCCGTGGTAAAACTGACGTTGGTCAAGAGTGTCACTACTGTCAAGAATTAGGTCATTGGAAAAATGAATGTCCGATTCTTAGGTCTAGGGGTAAATTCAGTACAGGTGCTTATGGTAAATCGAGGCCTGCAGCGTTAGCAGCTCCTGTTCCACATCAGTTCACTCCTGACGCATTGTCTCATGCCCAGAGCCAGGTGAAAGGTTATATTGATCCCGACTATTTACCTTTCGTTACGGAGGGTTTTGTGTCTATGGTAGGAAGTAAGAACCTAGTGCCAGTAAAGATCCTAAGAGACACAGGTGCCTCTGAATCATTTGTGTTGGAATCTGTTACCCTTCTCTGCGGAGACTGATTCGGGGAATAGTGTTCTAATTAGGGGAATAGGTTTGAACACTCTGTCAGTTCCATTGCATAAACTGATGTTGGATTGTGGACTGGTGAAAGGTGAGGTTGTTGTGGGGGTGCGTCCTTCATTGCCTATTGAGGCTATTGATGTGATCCTTGGAAATAACTTGGCTGGGGAGCGTGTGTGGCCTATCGCGTTTCCATCTTTAGTGGTTTCCACTAAGCCGTCAATTGTAGGGATTCCTGATGAGAGTGCGCAGAATTTCCCAGAGGTGTTTTCTGCGTGTGCAGTGACGCGTTCTATGATCCATGACGACCTGGTCACGGAGCTGGCTAACGAGAATACCACAAAGAAGTCTGTTACTGTTTTCCCTGTTATCCCGTTATCTATATCCCGCTCCGATTTAATCGAGGCGCAACGGACTGACCCTACATTAGAAGAGTTGCGGGACCAAATTGTGCCTGTGGAACAGTTGGGAGATGTCGCACAGGGCTATTTTCTCCAAGAAGAGGTCCTGATGAGAAAGTGGATGTCTCATGGTAGTTGTTTTCTGGGGGAGGCGATTAGTCAGGTGGTGGTACCAGTTAAGCTTCGTGAGTTGGTGCTAACAACTTCTCACAATGACGTTGCTGGGCATATGGGTGTGAGAAAAACCTACAATCGTATATTACGGCATTTCTTTTGGCCAAGATTAAAGAGGGATGTTTCTGATTTCATCAAAACTTGTCACACCTGTCAATTAACTGGTAAATCTAATCAAGCTATTAAGCCGGTACCACTGTTCCCTATTCCTGTACTCAGTAAACCTTTTGAGTATTTGATTATTGACTGTGTTGGTCCTCTGCCTCGTTCTAGAAAGGGTAGTAATTATTTGTTGACGGTGATGTGTCAGACCACTAGGTTTCCTGCTGCCTATCCTCTCCGGTCTATCACGACTAAGGCTGTGTTAAAAGCTTTGACTCAGTTTCTCTCATTGTTTGGAATCCCTAAGGTCATTCAAAGTGATCAAGGATCTATTTTCACCTCTAATCTCTTTGGTCAGGTTCTCCAACAACTCCATATTAAACACAACTTGTCTAGCGCCTATCTATATGGGCGCTACAACACTTTGAAGTGTATGTTGGGTCGGGTGTAGTACCTATTGTGGTCTACACCGACCATAACCCTCTCACCTTTTTGAGGTCCATGAGGTGTCCAAATCAGAGGATAATGAGATTGTGTTTATTTTTACAATCCTTCCATCTAGATGTGCGGCACATCCGGGGGACTGATAACGTGATTGCTGATGCGCTCTCTCGTGCGCCCTGTTCATGAATATTGATGTGACCGACCATTGTTTGATTTTGTCATGTTCTATCTTTCCTGTTTGTCCCCTCCTAGTCTTGGGTTCTTCTTTCCTGTGTAAAGGTTGCTTCCTGTGTAAAGGTTGCTGAGGTCTGGAGAGGAGGATGATGGGTGGGGCAAGTGGAGGTGTGAACATGTACAATTTGTCGGTTTGGGACACAGGGGCTGGTACGTTGGTCCGGGGTCCTTGTTGGTCCCCGGTCTCATGGGGGGGGGGGGGGGTGTGACGACCCTCCCACTCTGTCTGCCGTATTCTCTCTTTGCTCTTGTTTCCTTATTAGGATGCCGGTGGGCGGAGTTGGGAGGGTCGTCAGCTACATGGGAAACACCTGGGCCGAGTGTGTCCCAGCATAAATGGACCTCTTCCACATTCATTGAGGAGACTCTCTCCAGGCAGATACTTTGACTTTGGTTGTGGTATTTTTGTGGCTTTTTTGGTTGTTTGCTTTGGCACCTCTCAACACTTTTCCATATTACATTTATGCATGCAAACACTCACTTACACTACTGACTACTGATTACACACACCATTGTTATTTGATTTAGTTTACTTCAGTTAATAAATATATACTTTGAGTATTCCTTGTCTCCACGTGTCTCCCTTTTGTTACGAACTTGAGCCGGTTTGTGACATTGTTTAAATTGAAACCTCTTTTCTCTCCATCCTCTCCACTGTGTGTTAGCTCAGTGCTCGGGTCCAGACTCAGAGTCTTCTGCAGCAGGGAGTCACTGCCCCGGTGAACAGAGCTAACAAAACAAGTGTGACTGGCCTCCTCTCAGAGCCTTGGCACAGTCACCATCCTGGACAGTCTCTGTCTTTTCTAGCCTCCTGTCTCCTACCCAGCTGTAGGAGAAATCTTACGGAGGACAGACTGACAAGTAAACACAATTATTGCATAAGGCTTCCAGAACTTTGGAGAACAAACAACTTGAGATCTGATTCCTTTATCAACTGACGATCATTTCCATGTATTTACCACAGTATCTCTTTCAAGCCCTCCTGTAGCTCAGTTGGTAGAGCATGGCGCTTGCAACGCCAGAGTTGAAAAAAAAATGTATGCACTCACTAACTGTAAGTCGCTCTGGATAAGAGCGTCTGCTAAATGACTAAAATGTAAGTGTAGTTTTCCCGTTCACCGTGTGGCCTAATATAAGTGACCTTTCCATTCCAGTGTGCACAGGAAGATGTGTTATTTTCCAAGTCATTTGGCATTAGCTGACCTTTAATTTATTGCACCATCTATTTGAAATGGGTTACACTGGTTTCCAACTACAGATAGATATCATTCACAAAGCCGAGCGCATCAGCTGCAAAAATAGTTATTGATTCTGTCCACCGTATTATTACATGTGCATTACAACTAGAGTATCTGACATCTAATTGGCTGGCTACCTCTTTGTTATCCGTGTTCTGTCTGGGGGTATCTGGTGTCGGAGGTCTTAGGTCCAGTCTGGTGGTTCTCTGTGGTGTCGGAGGGCTTAGGTCCAGTCTGGTGGTTCTCTGTGGTGTCGGAGGTCTTAGGTCCGGTCTGGGGGTATCTGGTGTCGGAGGTCTTAGGTCCAGTTTGGTGGTGCTGGAGGTGAATGGCCTAGGTTCAAGGTCTTGAGGCCTTAAATAAGAGAACACTAATAGGCCTGTGGTAGGAGATAGCAAGGCCTACTGCCTGGCTCAGTGACACATCCTCCAGAGTGTGACATCACGCTGGCACCCTCCATGAGCAGAGGAGGGGATACTGCTGGGAATCAGTACACTGTAGAGGCTGTTGCTGCAATATGGAGGCAACTCATTGTAATGAGGATGACACATCCGTTGTTTGTTACAGGAAGCTCACAGCTGTGCCCAGTGAATGGCTGGTCATTGAAATTATCTTGACACCAAATGCTCCTTATTGAGAAGTCTAAATACTTAAAGCTAAAATCCTTAATTGAAACAATAACAAAGCGTAATCCCCCGCCTATGTTTTGGTAAAAAAAGCTGAGGGACGGGCCTCTCAAATTCATGGACAGACCTATGGACGCAAGGACTGACCATCCATAATATCACAATTACAGTTTTAACCATGTGTTGAGGCTGCACAGTGTTTGTTTGAGTTGTTTACAAACATTGGAGTAAAGCAAGCTTATATTTTGGGTTCTGATGGGGTACGCCAGTTGAACTAAGCTCATGAGGCAATTGTAAGTTATATTCTTCTAAAATCAATGGGTATGTCATTAATTTATAAGATATGTTCTTCTAGAATATATGGGTATATATCATTAATTTATTAGTTATATTCTTCTAGGATCAATGGGTATATATCATTCATTTATAAGTTATATTCTTCTAGAATCAATGGGTATATATCATTCATTTATAAGTTATATTATTCTAGAATCAATGGGTATATATCATTCATTTATATGTTACATTCTTCTAGAATCAACGGGTATATATAATTAACTTATAAGTTATATTCTTCTAGAATCAATGGGTATACATAATTCATTTATAAGTTATATTCTTCTAGAATCAATGGGTATACATCATTAATTTATAAGTTATAGTCTTCTAGAATCAATGGGTATACATCATTAATGTATAAGTTATAGTATTCTAGAATCAATGGGTACTGTATATTGAACAACTAAGGCTTTAATCTAATTCAAGGACATTTATTCTGTTTTATTGTGATTGTTTTTTATATATTTGTTTCAAAATATATATTTTTCAATGAATGTCTTTGTAAGTAATTGATTATGATACGTCTCTTTCACATTTGATGAATATCAGATTTATGCATCAGATCTGTATTTTTCATATTGTACACAGAGAGAATATATTAAATTCAGCCAAGGCTAAGCTTGTCTGTAGATTGTGTAGATGTCAATAAATGAGCTGAGGTTGTTCTTTAGTTTATATCCACTACAGGGTGGATAGTTTTCTTTTCCTTCAGGATTGTCGGTGTATAATACATCGTCTCAGGTACACTGAGCTGCTGGTGTTTTTGTTATATGAGAAAAAAACACTGTTAGATATACAAAGATGAAATTACACAGTTGGATATTTATTTAACATTATGTGGGGCAGATGGGTACAGTTTGAATCCTAATAAAACATCAAACCTAGAGAACCCACAGAATAGCTTTTAACTAACTTTAATTAATAAGATTGATTGACAATTGTCAGTTTTAAATCAACAGTCAATAAATAACTTTAATACATTTTACATGTCGTTGTTTTTGTATTTAGATGACCCAAAAGTTAATAACGCATATCATTGGTCTTCTTCCCCATCATGTGTTTTTTGGTGTTTTCCTCTGGCCTCAGCAATATAATGAAACATTTTGGAAGAAAGATACAAAGTAGCATTCCATAACTAGAGGCCAGAATAGCAAATATCTCCACAGCTACAGTGAACTTCCCAGGAGAGCTGACATAAGCTGGGATAAAGGTGATCCAGACTGCACAGAATATGAGCATGCTGAAGGTGATGAATTTGGCCTCATTGAAGTTATCAGGCAGCTTTCGAGCCAGAAAAGCCAGCACAAAGCACAAGAGAGCCAGGAGTCCTATATACCCCAACACAGCCCAGAAACCAATAGCTGAACCCACATCACACTCTAGAATGATCTTTTCCTTATAGGTCTTCATATTCTTGTAGGGGAAAGGAGGGGAGACTGTTAACCAGAGAACACAGATCAGGACCTGTATGAGAGTGAAAGCCAGAACACTGAGTCTCTGCTGTGGAGGCCCAAACCGTTTCATGACATTACTGTCTGGAAGTGTAGCCCTGAAGGCCATCAACACCACTATTGTTTTCCCCAGAACACAAGAGATGCAGAGGACGAAGGTGATCCCAAACGCTGTGTGGCGCAGCATACAGGACCATTCAGAGGGCCGGCCAATGAAAGTAAGAGAACACAGAAAACACAGAGTCAAGGAGAAGAGCAGCAGGAAGCTCAGCTCAGAGTTGTTGGCCCTGACGATGGGTGTGTCTTTATATTGGAAGAAAATTGTTGCTATAATAATAGTTACACAAACCCCAATCAAACAAAACAGAACTAAGACGACCCCCATGACCTCAGTGTAGGACAGGAATTCAATCTCTTTTTTGACACATCTATCCCCTCTCCCATTGGACCAGTATTGGACTGGGCACTTCATGCACTCGGCTGAATCTGTTTAGAGAAAAAACAAAAATAAGAAGAAAAAACACAATGTTAATGGTTCAGGAAAACGTGCCGAGCATTTAACATATTATATGCTGTGTTGGTTCTACACATTTTCAGTTAAGAGGTTTAAGTGATTTGTGAAGGCCAGTCCCGTATTTAATCCAGCATGTATTCACCTCACCAACTGTATTTTTTGATGGCTGGGTGTAATTTACCTGTGGTATTACTGATCTCTCCCTCTGCACATGGTACACAGTCATAACAGCAGACAGGCTTTCCTTTCTGCACAGCCTTACGAGTGCCTGGGGGACAGCTCTCACTGCACACTGACACAGGCACCTGGCACACAGAAAACAGACTCACATAGGGGACCAAGGAGAGTCTGTGTATTCATGTTCGCTCATGTACATATTAATCCTGTTTATCGTCAATCAGCAATGTCGGTGCACTGTAGAGTGACTTGACTTGTATTGATACTGTACATACCAACAGGGGCTGAGTGGCTGAAGGTTAAGTGCAATTGTTGCGTTATTGAATACAATGCAGGATAGCATTCTGACTCCCCAGCCAGAGATACGACAACAAGACAATATGAAAATGTACCGTCTCACTCCTTCCTCCCCAGACGATGCTAACATTGTTCACAGTGAACTGGTGGTCTTCAGTCAAAGAAGCATCATAGAAACCGACTGTGGCCACTTCCATGGTTCCCGATGTGGCACTTTGTATATTAACAAGGTCATATCTGGCTGGGGAATCTCCATTGCTGTCAAAAAAGACTCTCTCCTCCTCTCCCGTTGTGAAATTGACAGACTGTAGGTAGTGCAACAGCTTGAGAGGAGAAATGGTAAAGAGAGAAAAGTCGTTTTTATATGTGGCGTTTGCATTCATCGTTCTGTTGTTATCAGTCTACAGTGAAATCATTTATTTTACTTTAACTGATTTGCAATAGACAAAAGGTCACATTTTTAGAGGTATATTTCTGCTCACCTGCCATGGCTGGATGTGTGTGGGTTGAGCACAGTTCCCATTAGAGAAGGGGCCCTGGCTCTCCTCACATGTCAACAGGTTGTGGAGGGCGTAAGCCACGGCATACACAGCCTTATACACATTATTAGTGAATGTCAGCTTGGACACATCTGTGAACGTGTTCTGCACGCCTCTTAAAGTCTCAGAGCCGTTGCATGGCTTCCTCTTAGATTCTGTAGTCATATTGAGAGAGCAGTCGAACACAATCTCCCAGAAATCCCTGAGAAACATGCTGTTGGGGAAGCGAGAGGGGTGGACGTCCCTCAGATGCTCTCCCAGCCCAGGGATGTGAGCCCTGCTCACCGTGAAGCCTATGGCGCCCACCAGGGTGCCGTGTCCCTCGCTGGCAGTGAGTGAAGGGTCTGTGATCCAGGCATCACTGCCGATCCACTGCAGTCCTGTGACGTTGTGCCTGTAGAGCTCACTCACCAGAACCTTGATCTCCCTGTGGGTCATGAAGGCCATGATGACCTTTGAACTGGACTGTTTAATAATCTCCACTATCCTGAGAAGCTTGTGGCGCGGACCTGTCTGCTCAAATGCCTCAGAGTATTCTATACACACTCCCTCCTCCTGTGCAGCTAGCATGAACGTGGCTAGGCCGCTATTTCCGTAGTCATTATCACTGCTTATAGCCCCCACCCAGGTCCAGCCAAAGTGCTTGACCAGCTGGGCCAGGGCTCTGCTCTGGTAGAAGTCACTGGGGATGGTTCTGAAGAAAGAGGGGAACTCCTTTCTGTTACTCAGACACGTACAGGTGGCAAAGTGGCTGATCTGTGTACAAAATAATAAAATGTTATTTGAAACTTAATGACACACTGTGCAGTAGTTTCGAGACCAAAAGCAATTTTTTTGTTATCTTAAGACAACGATCCACAAAAATAAGACCTGTATAAAAGTCTATATTATACTGTATGAGTGCATAGAAAAGTGAATGGGAATTCTTACTACGGGTATATGAAAACTCCCAATGATGCGGGCCAATCCCATGGTTGGTGTGGAGGCAGAGTGGCCAATGACAGCCTGAGCCATGACAGCCTTGGTGCAGTTCCCCTCATCAATAAACTCCTCCTGGCCACTGGCTAAAGCCACACCAGACTTCAGGATGTTGTCGTATCCACACGCATTGTGGATTGTGTAGCCAAGAGTATGGTTTGGGAGAATTGCAGGATTTCGATTGATTTCTTCAATTGCAAATATAAGTGTTTGGGCAAATTGGAATTCTCTGAAATTCATACTAAAGAGAGATACATTTAATAAATAATGTGCCATAAAAAAAGGCAAAATATATCTCACCAGTCTTACACACAACCCAAAACCCTAGGAGATAAATATCAGATGGACAGTAGATTAAAACCCTAGGAGATAAATCTCAGATGGACAGTAGATTAAAACCCTAGGAGATAAATCTCAGATGGACAGTAGATTAAAACCCTAGGAGATAAATCTCAGATGGACAGTAGATTAAAACCCTAGGAGATAAATCTCAGATGGACAGTAGATTAAAACCCTAGGAGATAAATCTCAGATGGACAGTAGATTAAAACCCTAGGAGATAAATCTCAGATGGACAGTAGATTAAAACCCTAGGAGATAAATCTCAGATGGACAGTAGATTAAAACCCTAGGAGATAAATCTCAGATGGACAGTAGATTAAAACCCTAGGAGATAAATCTCAGATGGACAGTAGATTAAAACCCTAGGAGATCAACCTCAGATGGACAGTAGATTAAAACCCTAGGAGATAAATCTCAGATGGACAGTAGATTAAAACCCTAGGAGATCAACCTCAGATGTACAGTAGATGAAAAAAATCACTCATAACATCGAAAACAGTGAAAGTCCCATATTTGAAACAAAAAGAAGTTATCTTCAACTGAGAGAGGATACTCACTTCTTACACCTTGGTGGGTCTGGCAAACTCTGGAAATTGGGCACCCTCCCGTCGTATTCCGTCTGGAAGGTGAAGATGCCTCCGATGACGAGGTCCCCGTCCTTGGCCAGCTCTGGCAGCTTTGCCCTGCTCTGCAGTCTGCACACAGGCTCTCCCTCCCCCATCACCATCAGCAGCACCAACAGGACCAGCTCCAGCTGTGGCATGGCTCCTTGCTCCGTGGTGCAGTCTGGAGTTAGGGCTGGCTCTTGTGGCTCTGTGCCGCTCACAGCCCCTCTCTTTATACTCTCACAACCCTGTGTCTGTCTCAGAGCCTTGCCACAGAGGCCCTGTCTGTCGGTGCTCCCGTCCCCGTCCACGGCCTGCCCACACCCCCGTTCAACCTGGCATGTAGGGGGTGTGTGACAGGGTCTCTGAGGTACAGAGAGAATGACGTAGGGGGGTCTTAAGAGAGCACAGGAGAGCCCGCCTGGCGCCGGCAACCCAAGTCCTCACAGTGAGGACGCGTGCGCCAAGCATGATTTAGCCCGTAGGTCTCTTTAACTACTGTACCATAGGTAGTGCTGTTCACAGTGTAATGTAACACCGGCAACATGTGGCACGTATGTATCCGGGCTCTTTGATGGGCTTTAAAGCTCTTTTACAGCCGCTCAAATTCCCAGATGGATGAGTTTGTGGCGGCTACAGTCTGTGAAACGTACAGAAATACATCAATACAAACTATTGCAAAACATGAAAACTGGACTCATTGAAGATATATAAATGTGTACCCATAACTAGATCCCCGTTCTTCACCAGTTGGGGCTATTGAGGCTTTCAGTCTGTAAGGTCAACAATCCTTTTAGAAGATCTTTATCAGCAACCAGGAGAGGATGAGGCATCACCCTGGGCTCTCATAGACACCTGTTCAACCCCCGTCATCCAGTAGGTCCCATTTGTATTACAATGGGTGGGATAAAGTGACAGGCTGATATCTGGGTGCATGGTTCATTTGATAGTATAGTGTATTATTTGCAGTATGATTGCTAAATAATATTTCTACAGATTCTGTCAAATATACTGCCCTGCCCTGGGTTGGGCCTCTTTGTATTTAAGGAGAGAGCAGCATTTTCTTGTGTTTATCTACAAAGCACTCATGCAGAAACTGCCCATGTATCTATCATCATTAATTCAATTTAGACTTACAAATTACCAAACCTGGTCTCAGGCTTGGATAAAACTGGAAGCATATTCGGTGTCCACAGAGTTGGGTAAAACTGCTTTCAGTTTTTATGTGGAACAACTCACAGAGCTCTCTGAAATGAGATGTTCTGGTCCCCTTTGGTCAGTTCAGAGTAGTGATCAGAGACCTCTGTGTTGATAACTGTGTCTAGTCCCCTTTGGTCAGTTCAGAGTAATGATCAGAGACCTCTGTGTTGATAACTGTGTCTGGTCCCCTTTGGTCAGTTCAGAGTAGTGATCAGAGACCTCTGTGTTGATAACTGTGTCTAGTCCCCTTTGGTCAGTTCAGAGTAATGATCAGAGACCTCTGTGTTGATAACTGTGTCTGGTCCCCTTTGGTCAGTTCAGAGTAATGATCAGAGACCTCTGTGTTGATAACTGTGTCTGGTCCCCTTTGGTCAGTTCAGAGTAGTGATCAGAGACCTCTGTGTTGATAACTGTGTCTAGTCCCCTTTGGTCAGTTCAGAGTAATGATCAGAGACCTCTGTGTTGATAACTGTGTCTGGTCCCCTTTGGTCAGTTCAGAGTAATGATCAGAGACCTCTGTGTTGATAACTGTGTCTAGTCCCCTTTGGTCAGTTCAGAGTAGTGATCAGAGACCTCTGTGTTGATAACTGTGTCTAGTCCCCTTTGGTCAGTTCAGAGTAATGATCAGAGACCTCTGTGTTGATAACTGTGTCTGGTCCCCTTTGGTCAGTTCAGAGTAATGATCAGAGACCTCTGTGTTGATAACTGTGTCTGGTCCCCTTTGGTCAGTTCAGAGTAATGATCAGAGACCTCTGTGTTGATAACTGTGTCTGCTATTCTTAACATGTTTTGTCATGTTGTATATTGTATATTATATGTGTTTGATGTATTTATGTAGCACTCATCTGTGAAAGAGACCCTAGTCTCAGTATGACTTCCCTTTAAGAAATATATATATTTGACATCCTTGCGCTATACAATGGAGTGCAATGGACCAGAATGTTCTGTTTTTCTTTTCAAAACTGGTTGAAGACTATTTTTATCCTGTCGGCACCTGCAACTGACCACAGGTGAGTTAAATTACACAGTAAACGAGGATCATTGCTTCCAACCAAATTAATTTGGACTATTTCATTTTTATTGGTCCTGTGCAGTAATAAATCAAATGTAAACACCAAATGTTTCTATTTCAATTTCAACTTACTTTAGAATAAATAGTGAATCATGCAAAGGTGGCCAATATTTGACGGCATCTGTATACGACACTGTGTCCCTGGATGGGGATGCTGCTACTGTTGTTGTTGTGTTAGAAGATGAGCTGTGGGCCTTGAGGTGTTTCCTCCCCTGGGGCTGAGATCTGTGGCATTGGCAGCAACTCCTCTGTACCTGGAGAGAGACGTCCTACTGTGTGGCCCCGTGTAGCTCAGTTGGTAGAGCATGGCGCTTGCAACGCCAGGGTTTTGGGTTCGATTCCCACGGGGGCCAGTATGAAAAAATTAAACAAAAAAATTTATGCACTCACTAACTGTAAATCGCTCTGGATAAGAGCATCTGCTAAATGACTGAAATGTAAGTGTGTGTTTGTCAAAGGCCCTGCCTGTTTGTCTGTCTGAATGTCTGCCTGTCTGTCAGTTCGTTTGTCTGCATGTCTGCCTGTCTGTCTGTCAGTTCATTTGTCTGTCTGCCTGCCTGTCTGTTTGTCTGCCTGCCCTGTGATTTCGTTTACACAATAACTTTTTTTTATTTTTTTATTTTTTTTTGGTCATTTAGCAGACGCTCTTATCCAGAGCAACTTACAGGAGCAATTAGGGTTAAGTGCCTTGCTCAAGGGCACATCAACAGATTTTTCACCTAGTCGGCTCGGGGATTAGAACTAGCGACCTTTCGGTTACTGGCACAACGCTCTTAACCACTAAGCTACCTGCCGCCTATCTTGAGATAGCCTGTCTATCTTTGACAATGTTCTAATGTTCATGTTTAAATATCTGTTATTTAACAAAAGGTAATAGTCAATACTCATGTTGAATGTGATTTATTTAAAAACACACAACACTAAAAACACATTAGTGACTTATATTCTTTATTAACGTTCGAACACACGGCAGCTGTTGTCTCACAGTTTATTGTATCAGTTAGTAGGCCCAACATTTTCTAAAATATGTTAATAACTGTCACGGTTTCGGCCGAGGCGGCTCCTCCTCCTTGTTCGGGCAGGTTTCGCCGGTCGTCGTCTCCGGAGTTCTAGCTGCCACCGCTCGATGTTTCGTGTTTGTTTGGTTTTGTCTGTTAGTCACACCTGTTTTGTGTTAGGTCTCATTTAGCACCCTATTTAGTTTCCTTGTTGTTAGGTTTGTGTTGTGTGTGATTGTTCGTGTCGTGGTTGCGCTACCCGTGTCGGTACGCTATTTTCCTGAGCTTCCTCCTTGTGTTGTGAGGAGAGATTTACGCACCTGTGTGTGCGCTAGTTTTACGCCTGTGTGCGTCTTTTGCCTCCGGGCTGTTTTGGATTACTTTTCGTGCACAGTAAAGTCTTGTTGGACTTACCCTCTGCTGCCTGCGCCTGATTCCACACCACACCCATACACAGCACCGTGACAATAACGGATATCATTGGACGTCTTTCTCATCATATGTTTCTTGGTGTTTTGCTCTGACCTCAGCAATATAATGAAACATTTAGGAGCAAATATGCAGAAAAGTAAACCAAAACTAGAGGCCAGAATGGCAAATATCTCCACAGCTACAGTGAACTTCCCAGGAGAGCTGACATAAGCTGGGATAAAGGTGATCCAGACTACACAAAATATGAGTATACTGAAGCTGATGAATTTGACCTCATTGAAGTTATCAGGCAGCTTTCGAGCCAGAAAAGCCAGCACAAAGCACAAGAGAGCCAGGAGTCCTATATACCCCAACACAGCCCAGAAACCAATAGCTGAACCCACATCACACTCTAGAATGATCTTTTCCTGATAGGTCTTCATATTCTTGTAGGGGAAAGGAGGGCCAGGTCATCTGATGCATCAATTTGGTTGAGGACGGGTGATTGTGGAGGCCAGGTCATCTGATGCATCACTCTCCATCTTGGTCAAATAGCCCTTACACAGCCTGGATCTGGGTCCTCAGATCCTCAAAAAGTTATACAGCTGCACCATCAAGAGCATCCTGACTGATTGCATCACCGCCTGG